ATGCAACGCTATGCCCACCACGCCGACACATTCAACGCCACACCCCACACCCACCGGTCCATCTTCCCTCGCCGCCGTCGCTCCCCTGTGCTGAATGCCGCCATGCCATACTCACACACACCGCATGCAACGCTATGCCCACCACGCCGACACATTCAACGCCACACCCCACACCCACCGGTCCATCTTCCCTCGCCGCCGTCGCTCCCCTGTGCTGAATGCCGCCATGCCATACTCACACACACCGCATGCAACGCTATGCCCACCACGCCGACACATTCAACGCCACACCCCACACCCACCGGTCCATCTTCCCTCGCCGCCGTCGCTCCCCTGTGCTGAATGCCGCCATGCCATACTCACACACACCGCATGCAACGCTATGCCCACCACGCCGACACATTCAACGCCACACCCCACACCCACCGGTCCATCTTCCCTCGCCGCCGTCGCTCCCCTGTGCTGAATGCCGCCATGCCATACTCACACACACCGCATGCAACGCTATGCCCACCACGCCGACACATTCAACGCCACACCCCACACCCACCGGTCCATCTTCCCTCGCCGCCGTCGCTCCCCTGTGCTGAATGCCGCCATGCCATACTCACACACACCGCATGCAACGCTATGCCCACCACGCCGACACATTCAACGCCACACCCCACACCCACCGGTCCATCTTCCCTCGCCGCCGTCGCTCCCCTGTGCTGAATGCCGCCATGCCATACTCACACACACCGCATGCAACGCTATGCCCACCACGCCGACACATTCAACGCCACACCCCACACCCACCGGTCCATCTTCCCTCGCCGCCGTCGCTCCCCTGTGCTGAATGCCGCCATGCCATACTCACACACACCGCATGCAACGCTATGCCCACCACGCCGACACATTCAACGCCACACCCCACACCCACCGGTCCATCTTCCCTCGCCGCCGTCGCTCCCCTGTGCTGAATGCCGCCATGCCATACTCACACACACCGCATGCAACGCTATGCCCACCACGCCGACACATTCAACGCCACACCCCACACCCACCGGTCCATCTTCCCTCGCCGCCGTCGCTCCCCTGTGCTGAAGGCCGCCATGCCATACTCACACACACCGCATGCAACGCTATGCCCACCACGCCGACACATTCAACGCCACACCCCACACCCACCGGTCCATCTTCCCTCGCCGCCGTCGCTCCCCTGTGCTGAAGGCCGCCATGCCATACTCACACACACCGCATGCAACGCTATGCCCACCACGCCGACACATTCAACGCCACACCCCACACCCACCGGTCCATCTTCCCTCGCCGCCGTCGCTCCCCTGTGCTGAAGGCCATGCCATACTCACACACACCGCATGCAACGCTATGCCCACCACGCCGACACATTCAACGCCACACCCCACACCCACCGGTCCATCTTCCCTCGCCGCCGTCGCTCCCCCGTGCTGAACCGCCATGCCATACTCACACACACCGCATGCAACGCTATGCCCACCACGCCGACACATTCAACGCCACACCCCACACCCACCGGTCCATCTTCCCTCGCCGCCGTCGCTCCCCCTGTGCCGCCATGCCATAGGCCGCCATGCCATACTCACATGCACTCACCGCATGCAACGCTATGCCCACCACGCCGACACATTCAACGCCACACCCCACACCCACCGGTCCATCTTCCCTCGCCGCCGTCGCTCCCCTGTGCTGAAGGCCGCCATGCCATACTCACACACACCGCATGCAACGCTATGCCCACCACGCCGACACATTCAACGCCACACCCCACACCCACCGGTCCATCTTCCCTCGCCGCCGTCGCTCCCCTGTGCTGAAGGCCGCCATGCCATACTCACCACACCGCATGCAACGCTATGCCCACCACGCCGACACATTCAACGCCACACCCCACACCCACCGGTCCATCTTCCCTCGCCGCCGTCGCTCCCCCGTGCTGAAGGCCGCCATGCCATACTCACACACACCGCATGCAACGCTATGCCCACCACGCCGACACATTCAACGCCACACCCCACACCCACCGGTCCATCTTCCCTCGCCGCCGTCGCTCCCCCGTGCTGAAGGCCGCCATGCCATACTCACACACACCGCATGCAACGCTATGCCCACCACGCCGACACATTCAACGCCACACCCCACACCCACCGGTCCATCTTCCCTCGGCCGTCGCTCCCCCGTGCTGAAGGCCGCCATGCCATACTGCGCACCACCGCCCTGTCTGGCAGGGCGTCTGCTCGGTTGGTCACCTGGGTGGTACAGGGCGTAGGGGGCAGGGAGGGCCGTGGTAAGGGAGGGGCCGACGAGAGGTGAGGGGCAGCAGCAGCCATTCCATACTCGCACCGTACCACCGCCCTGTCCAGAATGGCGTCTGCTCGGTTGGTCACCTGGGGGAGATGGGAAATGGTGGGGGAAGGGAAATAAAGGACATACAGCATGAGGGGCGGCAGCAGCCATGCTAACTCACTCACAGCGCACACCGCCCTGTCTGGCAGGGCGTCTGCGCTGTTGGTCACCTGGGGGACGCGGAAGATAAGGCGGAAAGGGGGACGGGTCAGGAGATGATGATCAAGACGCTCGCAGCACAAACACAAAAACAAGAAATCATTCTGTGACACGTACTGCGATTTTGCCACCATCAAGACCTGCAGCGTCCACTATTTCTGTCATGTGGAGATCGCCAGCCAGCGCGAACAGAATCTCTCAAGGCCTTTCATTTCTTTCCTCTTTTCAATTTGGAACTTCATACAATGCAGCGTAATATCATTCCTGACCGTTACCATCTCAAATCGCACCCCATCCTTCCACCTCTTCCTTCTAAACCACACCACTCACTTCCTTTCCACCTTACCACCAGCTACCACCTTCGTCCAGCAACAATGTTCCCAATCCATAACCAGCAGCATGTTTCCTGTAGCCACAAGCCATTCTTAACCCCTGCCCCAGACCCTGAAACCCAAACTCTAAACTCTAAAACCTGAAGTGCACACCAAATTTTGTTGAAACCCAAATCCCGAGCCCCGAACCTAAAGTTACCCCAAACACACAACCTTGAACCTCAAACCCCCTAACTCTGAACCCTAAGCTCCAAACCTTGAATCTTAAACCCTGAAACCCATCCCCCAAACCACCAGACCCTGAATTTCAATAACTCTGGTCCCAAGCCCCAAACCCTGAACCCTGGTAAACCTGGAACCCCAAACCCCAAGCTCTGAGACCTCGCCTCACCTCGCGCGGGCCGTACACGACTGCGAGCACCTTGGTGTTGCCCATCTCGAATGATGCTGAGCTGGTGGGCGTGTGAGGTGAGGGGAGGGCGTGAGGTGATGGGGGTGTGGGGGTTAGGAGTGTGAGCGTAGGGGCGTGAGGGGGGGGCGGCCCATACACGACTGCTAGCACCTTGGTGTTGCCCATCTCGAATGACGCTGAGCTGATGGGCGCACGTGGCAGGCATACGAGGAGAGGGGCGAGGTAGAGGGGTAGAGGAGGCCACGACCGGGAGGGGGGAAGAGAGAGAGGGGGCGGGGGCGGGAGGAAAAAGGGGGGGCGGGAACATGGGGAGAACTGGTGGAGGGGAAAAGTTGCGGCAGCAACGAGTAGAAGGGAAGGGAGTGGAAGGAAGAGGGCAGGGGGCAAAGGTGAGCAGGAGACGAGAGAGGGAGGACAACAAGCATGGGGAGGGGAGGGAAGAGATGGATGGGGCGGGCAGGCATGCATGCATACGGCGGCGGGAGGGGCAAGTCGGGGGAAGCACGAAGGGAACATCTACATCTCACCCACCCATCAGCAGAGCGCAGCACTCCAAGCTCGCATTTGAGCTGCCGTAGCTGCACGCGCAGACGAGGGAAGGGAAGAGTGAATGTGTGTCAATGTAAAATTGTGAAGGGGGTGCGTGTCCGGTGTGCTCTCACCCACCCATCTGCAGAGAGCAACACGCCCAGCTCGCACTTGAGCTGGCGTAGCTGCACGCGCACAGGGGAGGCGGGGCGAGGAGAGGGGAAAGCGCGCAATGCGAGGGGAGCGAAGAGTGGAAGGGGAGAGGAGGACTATCAGAGCAAATGGGGGATCGAGAAGGGGAAAGGCGGACTCGCCCAGGACAACACACGGCCTGGCGCTGGCTTGGAGATCGTTCGAACACGAGAGCACGCGCTGGGTGTGGCGGCGACTCGATAACAATCAAAACGGCTGGCGCGCGCTTGTGAGGCATCGGAACAGGAAAGTAGCGTGTGGAGGGACTACACTCGATCAAAATCTAAGCGTACTACTGGACAGCGACGCGGTTCGACACCGCACTAGTAGCAGGTGGGGCACTGCAACGGACGGGTCGTCCGATGGGCGGCGCGTCTGGAGGATTTTCGAAGCGCACATTTCTGCGACACGTGGGGCGGGGGTAACGGGTACCTCTTTGGGTCGTCGGCCGTCGAGCCGCAGCTGCTCCGGCGACACGAACTCCATCGAGCGAACTGTCTCGGCCAATAGAGAGGGAGAAGTGACTCGCGTGTGAAACCGAAAAAAACATCACGCACTTGTTCGGAAATGTGACACTGTTTAGCAATTACTATTTTATGTCAAATCAAGTACAAAATCAGCGCCTGTAACTCAGTGGATAGAGTGTTCGCTTCCTAAGCGAGAGGTCCAAGGTTCAACCCCTTGCTGGCGCGTAAGTTTTGTGTTTCCTCCCTCGGTCTGTCCTTTTCTTTGGACCATCCCCTCCCCCACAACAGATGGTCATGAAGCCTCCACTCCCACCTCTTCACACCAGACTCAAGAACTCAGCAGCAATGCACCCTTTTCATGTACAATTGTTCTTATAAATTTCACCCATGTCCGAACACCACTTTCCATCCATGTACAATTGTGTGCTCTATACCTTATATACATTATAAAATCAGTGGAATTGCTTTGCCGCGTGACACATATCCAGCTTCATTAATCGGCTAACCTTATGCTATTGTAACCTAAGTCCAACGGAATAACCCTTACAAAAGCTCAGAAGATCCTCCAGGGGAGGCCAGGGAGCAACCATTCTGCCACTCTGGGTGCTTGCACGACGCTTGGTGCAGCAGCAGGGCGGTCTCCAGTGCGGTCACTCTGCGCTGCAACGCGTCGACATATGCGACAGCTTTATCCAGCATGGTAGCAGTGTCCCCATGCCCGCGCACTACCAATCGCAGCTTTTGCAGCCCCTCACTGATCCTCTCCCGCCTCTGCCTCTCCGCCATGCTCCGCGCCTTGATGCGGTCCCCCGCCATCTGCCGGTCCTTTCGCCCGCGGTTGCGCGGCAACCAATAATCCGCATCGTGATCCGCCGCCCCATTGGCGCCTCTGCCGCAGCCGGGACTTCCACCGAAACCCAACATGTCATCATCAGAATTTTCAAAGTAGTTCATGCAAGCTGCTGCTTCTGGCACGGTGGCTAGTGACGCAGGCGTAGCGGAAGGGGCAGCAGGAGCTGCACCTTTGGCAACGGGCAGGCGAAAGGGCATCTGCTGCGGGCCAACATGATGGCCGAGCGTCCTGCCAGCAGGTGTGGCATGAGCAACCGCTGGCAGCGCAGCCGCGGGAGGCCGCGGGGGGCGCGGGGGGGCGTCCAAAGCAGCGGGTGCGGGGCACGATCCGGCCCTGCCGCCGCGGAGGATGACAGCAGCAATCGCACGGCGCAGCTGACGCGTCACCTCCGACTCTTCCTCGCTTCCGCCCACGACAGGTGCATCCGCAGAGGGGGCCTCCTCGATCTCCGCCGCCTTGCGCTTCCGCGACCCTGCTGCCAGCGCCGCGGATGAGAGGAACTCCCGCTCATCGAGGGATTCCGGTGAGGAAGGCGGCCCGTCGGCGGCGGCGCGCTCGTCGTCGTCGGCGGCGGCAGTGTCGTCCGCCGTTGAGTCCGCGAGAGCTTGCATAAGCGCCGCGAGAAGCTGCTTCCGCGCCGCGCGCTGTGCCGCTGCGTTGCTCGCGTTCGCCTCACCGCTCTTCTCGCCGCTCCTTCCGTCGGGTTCACGGTCTCGCGCGGTCCAGGGAAGGTTGAGAAAGGAGTCAAATGCATTTTCCATGTCGCCGGATTCGGGAGGCTCTGGGATGGTTTCGAGGTCGAACATACGCCCGAAAGGAAACTGATCCACTTCTGTGGGTGCCATCGTCGGGAGCTGAGGAACTGTCTGGAACAAATGGTTTCTGAGAAACGGTGTTGGGGAGTGTGCGTTGGAGGGTTGGGTGTGTGGATGCGTGTTGTGGGAGTGCTCGAGGGAATAGCCAAGTGAGAGAGCCGCGCAGTATTTGTGCAAAAAGTACACCAGACAAGTTCGAGGTTTCCCACAAACCAAGCCCAAACCTGTCTGCCTGGGGGAATGTGGTTGAGCGCCATGTTTGGCCTGACGTGGCTCCAAGGCTCGGCGGCGGCGTGTGTTGATTGCCGCAGGTGCAGACCCTTGCCTGCTCGTGAAGCAGCAACTGCGGCTTTCTGTTGGCTGCGATAGCCGGCGAAATCCCAACATGCGATGCTAGTTTGCGCCAGCCCCCCTTGCAGCCCCGCATGGCTTGTCAAGTGGGCCGGTGGCGAGGTTCGTTGGTTACAACTTCGCATTCGCTTTCCGCACAGCCTGCCCACATTGGTCTTCTTGGCGTGTCAATAGGGTATCTCGACCTGACCGAACGTGACATAAATTGCGCGTGTTCGCAATTCGCTGTCACCACGATATCAAATCCGTACGCACCTATCGCCTGCAAGAGAAAGGATCACATTCTGGGTGTGTACAACCAGCTTGTGCACCCGCGCCTGGATGGTTACCCGATTAGCCCTGCTGGGTTTCGGGTCGGGAAAACGAAGGGAGCACAAACTGTAGCGAGATGAAGCGTGTGTGTTCGCAAATCGCCTTAGCTGTCACCACCATATCAAATCCGTACGCACCTATTGCCTTCGGGAGAAAGGATCACAATTTCGCTATGCACACCCAGTGTGTGTGCACTGTGCACCCGCACCTGGATGGTTACCCGATTTGCCCTGGTGTGCTTCGGGAAGACGAGGGGGGCGCACACCTGCAGCGAGGTGAAGTCCACAGGAAGAAACTGCTTGGGTCCAGCTAGGGCCAACTTTCGAGAGAAGGCCCTTCTTTCCGCGCTCCGCCATCAATCCCTTCCTCATACCTCCCTTCCACACCCGCGATTCCCATACGGCCACCCTTCCTCCTTTTCCCCTGTCCTCCCGGCCTCCCATTCTTCCTTCTTCCCCTTCTCCCTTTCGCTCCTCCACTTCTCTTCCCTTGCCAGCTCCACTACTTCTATCCTCTCTTATTCTGCCACATCGTCTCGTCACTCTTTCCTCTCTCCTGCCATCACGTACTTTACCTTCCTATTACTTCGCCCTCTACGCGACTTACTCCCTTCCTCTGTTCCACCCCCACACTCCTTTCATCCCATTCGCCGTGCCGCCCTTCCTCACAAGTGCGCTAATTTGGGATGCTCGTCCCCCATTCATCCATTCATCCATCCCTCGTCTCCCCATTCATCCATTCTCCATCCCTCGTCTCCCCATTCATCCATTCTCCATCCCTCGTCTCCCCATCATCCATTCTCCATCCCTCGTCTCCCCATTCATCCATTCTCCATCCCTCGTCTCCCCATTCATCCATTCTCCATCCCTCGTCTCCCCATTCATCCATTCTCCCATCCCTCGTCTCCCATTCATCCATTCTCCATCCCTCGTCTCCCCATTCATCCATTCTCCATCCCTCGTCTCCCCATTCATCCATTCTCCATCCCTCGTCTCCCCATTCATCCATTCTCCATCCCTCGTCTCCCCATTCATCCATTCTCCATCCCTCGTCTCCCCATTCATCCATTCTCCATCCCTCGTCTCCCATCATCCATTCTCCATCCCTCGTCTCCCCATTCATCCATTCTCCATCCCTCGTCTCCCATTCATCCATTCTCCATCCCTCGTCTCCCCATTCATCCATTCTCATCCATCGTCCTCCCCATTCATCCATTCTCCATCCCTCGTCTCCCCATTCATCCATTCTCCATCCCTCGTCTCCCCATTCATCCATTCCCATCCATTAGTCTCCCCATTCATCCATTCTCCATCCTCCCGTCTCTCCCATCATCTCGTTCCCCATCAGATCACCTCTCGTCTCCCCATTCATCCATTCTCCATCCCTCGTCTCCCCATTCATCCATTCTCCATCCCCATTCATCCTTCTCCATCCCTCGTCTCCCATATCCATTCTCCATCCCTCGTCTCCCCCATTCATCCATTCTCCATCCCTCGTCTCCCCATTCATCCATTCTCCATCCCTCGTCTCCCATTCATCCATTCTCCATCCCTCGTCTCCCCATTCATCCATTCTCCATCCCTCGTCTCCCCATTCATCCATTCTCCATCCCTCGTCTCCCCATTCATCCATTCTCCATCCCTCGTCTCCCCATTCATCCATTCTCCATCCCTCGTCTCCCCATTCATCCATTCTCCATCCCTCGTCTCCCCATTCATCCATTCTCCATCCCTCGTCTCCCCATTCATCCATTCTCCATCCCTCGTCTCCCCTTCATCCATTCTCCATCCCTCGTCTCCCCATTCATCCATTCTCCATCCCTCGTCTCCCCATTCATCCATTCTCCATCCCTCGTCTCCCATTCATCCATTCTCCATCCCTCGTCTCCCCATTCATCCATTCTCCATCCCTCGTCTCCCCATTCATCCATTCTCCATCCCTCGTCTCCCCATTCATCCATTCTCCATCCCTCGTCTCCCCATTCATCCATTCTCCATCCCTCGTCTCCCCATTCATCCATTCTCCATCCCTCGTCTCCCCATTCATCCATTCTCCATCCCTCGTCTCCCCATTCATCCATTCTCCATCCCTCGTCTCCCCATTCATCCATTCTCCATCCCTCGTCTCCCCATTCATCCATTCTCCATCCCTCGTCTCCCCATTCATCCATTCTCCATCCCTCGTCTCCCCATTCATCCATTCTCCATCCCTCGTCTCCCCATTCATCCATTCTCCATCCCTCGTCTCCCCATTCATCCATTCTCCATCCCTCGTCTCCCCATTCATCCATTCTCCATCCCTCGTCTCCCCATTCATCCATTCTCCATCCCTCGTCTCCCCATTCATCCATTCTCCATCCCTCGTCTCCCCATTCATCCATTCTCCATCCCTCGTCTCCCCATTCATCCATTCTCCATCCCTCGTCTCCCATTCATCCATTCTCCATCCCTCGTCTCCCCATTCATCCATTCTCCATCCCTCGTCTCCCCATTCATCCATTCTCCATCCCTCGTCTCCCCATTCATCCATTCTCCATCCCTCGTCTCCCCATTCATCCATTCTCCATCCCTCGTCTCCCCATTCATCCATTCTCCATCCCTCGTCTCCCCATTCATCCATTCTCCATCCCTCGTCTCCCCATTCATCCATTCTCCATCCCTCGTCTCCCCATTCATCCATTCTCCATCCCTCGTCTCCCCATTCATCCATTCTCCATCCCTCGTCTCCCCATTCATCCATTCTCCATCCCTCGTCTCCCCATTCATCCATTCTCCATCCCTCGTCTCCCCATTCATCCATTCTCCATCCCTCGTCTCCCCATTCATCCATTCTCCATCCCTCGTCTCCCCATTCATCCATTCTCCATCCCTCGTCTCCCCATTCATCCATTCTCCATCCCTCGTCTCCCATTCATCCATTCTCCATCCCTCGTCTCCCCATTCATCCATTCTCCATCCCTCGTCTCCCCATTCATCCATTCTCCATCCCTCGTCTCCCCATTCATCCATTCTCCATCCCTCGTCTCCCCATTCATCCATTCTCCATCCCTCGTCTCCCCATTCATCCATTCTCCATCCCTCGTCTCCCCATTCATCCATTCTCCATCCCTCGTCTCCCCATTCATCCATTCTCCATCCCTCGTCTCCCCATTCATCCATTCTCCATCCCTCGTCTCCCCATTCATCCATTCTCCATCCCTCGTCTCCCCATTCATCCATTCTCCATCCCTCGTCTCCCCATTCATCCATTCTCCATCCCTCGTCTCCCCATTCATCCATTCTCCATCCCTCGTCTCCCCATTCATCCATTCTCCATCCCTCGTCTCCCCATTCATCCATTCTCCATCCCTCGTCTCCCCATTCATCCATTCTCCATCCCTCGTCTCCCCATTCATCCATTCTCCATCCCTCGTCTCCCCATTCATCCATTCTCCATCCCTCGTCTCCCCATTCATCCATTCTCCATCCCTCGTCTCCCCATTCATCCATTCTCCATCCCTCGTCTCCCCATTCATCCATTCTCCATCCCTCGTCTCCCCATTCATCCATTCTCCATCCCTCGTCTCCCCATTCATCCATTCTCCATCCCTCGTCTCCCCATTCATCCATTCTCCATCCCTCGTCTCCCCATTCATCCATTCTCCATCCCTCGTCTCCCCATTCATCCATTCTCCATCCCTCGTCTCCCCATTCATCCATTCTCCATCCCTCGTCTCCCCATTCATCCATTCTCCATCCCTCGTCTCCCCATTCATCCATTCTCCATCCCTCGTCTCCCCATTCATCCATTCTCCATCCCTCGTCTCCCCATTCATCCATTCTCCATCCCTCGTCTCCCCATTCATCCATTCTCCATCCCTCGTCTCCCCATTCATCCATTCTCCATCCCTCGTCTCCCCATTCATCCATTCTCCATCCCTCGTCTCCCCATTCATCCATTCTCCATCCCTCGTCTCCCCATTCATCCATTCTCCATCCCTCGTCTCCCCATTCATCCATTCTCCATCCCTCGTCTCCCCATTCATCCATTCTCCATCCCTCGTCTCCCCATTCATCCATTCTCCATCCCTCGTCTCCCCATTCATCCATTCTCCATCCCTCGTCTCCCCATTCATCCATTCTCCATCCCTCGTCTCCCCATTCATCCATTCTCCATCCCTCGTCTCCCCATTCATCCATTCTCCATCCCTCGTCTCCCCATTCATCCATTCTCCATCCCTCGTCTCCCCATTCATCCATTCTCCATCCCTCGTCTCCCCATTCATCCATTCTCCATCCCTCGTCTCCCCATTCTCCATTCTCCATCCCCGTCTCCCCATTCATCCATTCTCCATCCCTCGTCTCCCCATTCATCCATTCTCCATCCCTCGTCTCCCCATTCATCCATTCTCCATCCCTCGTCTCCCCATTCATCCATTCTCCATCCCTCGTCTCCCCATTCATCCATTCTCCATCCCTCGTCTCCCCATTCATCCATTCTCCATCCCTCGTCTCCCCATTCATCCATTCTCCATCCCTCGTCTCCCCATTCATCCATTCTCCATCCCTCGTCTCCCCATTCATCCATTCTCCATCCCTCGTCTCCCCATTCATCCATTCTCCATCCCTCGTCTCCCCATTCATCCATTCTCCATCCCTCGTCTCCCCATTCATCCATTCTCCATCCCTCGTCTCCCCATTCATCCATTCTCCATCCCTCGTCTCCCCATTCATCCATTCTCCATCCCTCGTCTCCCCATTCATCCATTCTCCATCCCTCGTCTCCCCATTCATCCATTCTCCATCCCTCGTCTCCCCATTCATCCATTCTCCATCCCTCGTCTCCCCATTCATCCATTCTCCATCCCTCGTCTCCCCGTTCATCCATTCTCCATCCCTCGTCTCCCCGTTCATCCATTCTCCATCCCTCGTCTCCCCATTCATCCATTCTCCATCCCTCGTCTCCCCATTCATCCATTCTCCATCCCTCGTCTCCCCATTCATCCATTCTCCATCCCTCGTCTCCCCATTCATCCATTCTCCATCCCTCGTCTCCCCATTCATCCATTCTCCATCCCTCGTCTCCCCATTCATCCATTCTCCATCCCTCGTCTCCCCATTCATCCATTCTCCATCCCTCGTCTCCCCATTCATCCATTCTCCATCCCTCGTCTCCCCATTCATCCATTCTCCATCCCTCGTCTCCCCATTCATCCATTCTCCATCCCTCGTCTCCCCATTCATCCATTCTCCATCCCTCGTCTCCCCATTCATCCATTCTCCATCCCTCGTCTCCCCATTCATCCATTCTCCATCCCTCGTCTCCCCATTCATCCATTCTCCATCCCTCGTCTCCCCATTCATCCATTCTCCATCCCTCGTCTCCCCATTCATCCATTCTCCATCCCTCGTCTCCCCATTCATCCATTCTCCATCCCTCGTCTCCCCATTCATCCATTCTCCATCCCTCGTCTCCCCATTCATCCATTCTCCATCCCTCGTCTCCCCATTCATCCATTCTCCATCCCTCGTCTCCCCATTCATCCATTCTCCATCCCTCGTCTCCCCATTCATCCATTCTCCATCCCTCGTCTCCCCATTCATCCATTCTCCATCCCTCGTCTCCCCATTCATCCATTCTCCATCCCTCGTCTCCCCATTCATCCATTCTCCATCCCTCGTCTCCCCATTCATCCATTCTCCATCCCTCGTCTCCCCATTCATCCATTCTCCATCCCTCGTCTCCCCATTCATCCATTCTCCATCCCTCGTCTCCCCATTCATCCATTCTCCATCCCTCGTCTCCCCATTCATCCATTCTCCATCCCTCGTCTCCCCATTCATCCATTCTCCATCCCTCGTCTCCCCATTCATCCATTCTCCATCCCTCGTCTCCCCATTCATCCATTCTCCATCCCTCGTCTCCCCATTCATCCATTCTCCATCCCTCGTCTCCCCATTCATCCATTCTCCATCCCTCGTCTCCCCATTCATCCATTCTCCATCCCTCGTCTCCCCATTCATCCATTCTCCATCCCTCGTCTCCCCATTCATCCATTCTCCATCCCTCGTCTCCCCATTCATCCATTCTCCATCCCTCGTCTCCCCATTCATCCATTCTCCATCCCTCGTCTCCCCATTCATCCATTCTCCATCCCTCGTCTCCCCATTCATCCATTCTCCATCCCTCGTCTCCCCATTCATCCATTCTCCATCCCTCGTCTCCCCATTCATCCATTCTCCATCCCTCGTCTCCCCATTCATCCATTCTCCATCCCTCGTCTCCCCGTTCATCCATTCTCCATCCCTCGTCTCCCCATTCATCCATTCTCCATCCCTCGTCTCCCCATTCATCCATTCTCCATCCCTCGTCTCCCCATTCATCCATTCTCCATCCCTCGTCTCCCCATTCATCCATTCTCCATCCCTCGTCTCCCCATTCATCCATTCTCCATCCCTCGTCTCCCCATTCATCCATTCTCCATCCCTCGTCTCCCCATTCATCCATTCTCCATCCCTCGTCTCCCCATTCATCCATTCTCCATCCCTCGTCTCCCCGTTCATCCATTCTCCATCCCTCGTCTCCCCGTTCATCCATTCTCCATCCCTCGTCTCCCCATTCATCCATTCTCCATCCCTCGTCTCCCCATTCATCCATTCTCCATCCCTCGTCTCCCCATTCATCCATTCTCCATCCCTCGTCTCCCCATTCATCCATTCTCCATCCCTCGTCTCCCCATTCATCCATTCTCCATCCCTCGTCTCCCCATTCATCCATTCTCCATCCCTCGTCTCCCCATTCATCCATTCTCCATCCCTCGTCTCCCCATTCATCCATTCTCCATCCCTCGTCTCCCCATTCATCCATTCTCCATCCCTCGTCTCCCCATTCATCCATTCTCCATCCCTCGTCTCCCCATTCATCCATTCTCCATCCCTCGTCTCCCCATTCATCCATTCTCCATCCCTCGTCTCCCCATTCATCCATTCTCCATCCCTCGTCTCCCCATTCATCCATTCTCCATCCCTCGTCTCCCCATTCATCCATTCTCCATCCCTCGTCTCCCCATTCATCCATTCTCCATCCCTCGTCTCCCCATTCATCCATTCTCCATCCCTCGTCTCCCCATTCATCCATTCTCCATCCCTCGTCTCCCCATTCATCCATTCTCCATCCCTCGTCTCCCCATTCATCCATTCTCCATCCCTCGTCTCCCCATTCATCCATTCTCCATCCCTCGTCTCCCCATTCATCCATTCTCCATCCCTCGTCTCCCCATTCATCCATTCTCCATCCCTCGTCTCCCCATTCATCCATTCTCCATCCCTCGTCTCCCCATTCATCCATTCTCCATCCCTCGTCTCCCCATTCATCCATTCTCCATCCCTCGTCTCCCCATTCATCCATTCTCCATCCCTCGTCTCCCCATTCATCCATTCTCCATCCCTCGTCTCCCCATTCATCCATTCTCCATCCCTCGTCTCCCCATTCATCCATTCTCCATCCCTCGTCTCCCCATTCATCCATTCTCCATCCCTCGTCTCCCCATTCATCCATTCTCCATCCCTCGTCTCCCCATTCATCCATTCTCCATCCCTCGTCTCCCCATTCATCCATTCTCCATCCCTCGTCTCCCCATTCATCCATTCTCCATCCCTCGTCTCCCCATTCATCCATTCTCCATCCCTCGTCTCCCCATTCATCCATTCTCCATCCCTCGTCTCCCCATTCATCCATTCTCCATCCCTCGTCTCCCCATTCATCCATTCTCCATCCCTCGTCTCCCATTCATCCATTCTCCATCCCTCGTCTCCCCATTCATCCATTCTCCATCCCTCGTCTCCCCATTCATCCATTCTCCATCCCTCGTCTCCCCATTCATCCATTCTCCATCCCTCGTCTCCCCATTCATCCATTCTCCATCCCTCGTCTCCCCATTCATCCATTCTCCATCCCTCGTCTCCCCATTCATCCATTCTCCATCCCTCGTCTCCCCATTCATCCATTCTCCATCCCTCGTCTCCCCATTCATCCATTCTCCATCCCTCGTCTCCCCATTCATCCATTCTCCATCCCTCGTCTCCCCATTCATCCATTCTCCATCCCTCGTCTCCCCATTCATCCATTCTCCATCCCTCGTCTCCCCATTCATCCATTCTCCATCCCTCGTCTCCCCATTCATCCATTCTCCATCCCTCGTCTCCCCATTCATCCATTCTCCATCCCTCGTCTCCCCATTCATCCATTCTCCATCCCTCGTCTCCCCATTCATCCATTCTCCATCCCTCGTCTCCCCATTCATCCATTCTCCATCCCTCGTCTCCCCATTCATCCATTCTCCATCCCTCGTCTCCCCATTCATCCATTCTCCATCCCTCGTCTCCCCATTCATCCATTCTCCATCCCTCGTCTCCCCATTCATCCATTCTCCATCCCTCGTCTCCCCATTCATCCATTCTCCATCCCTCGTCTCCCCATTCATCCATTCTCCATCCCTCGTCTCCCCATTCATCCATTCTCCATCCCTCGTCTCCCCATTCATCCATTCTCCATCCCTCGTCTCCCCATTCATCCATTCTCCATCCCTCGTCTCCCCATTCATCCATTCTCCATCCCTCGTCTCCCCATTCATCCATTCTCCATCCCTCGTCTCCCCATTCATCCATTCTCCATCCCTCGTCTCCCCATTCATCCATTCTCCATCCCTCGTCTCCCCGTTCATCCATTCTCCATCCCTCGTCTCCCCGTTCATCCATTCTCCATCCCTCGTCTCCCCATTCATCCATTCTCCATCCCTCGTCTCCCCATTCATCCATTCTCCATCCCTCGTCTCCCCATTCATCCATTCTCCATCCCTCGTCTCCCCATTCATCCATTCTCCATCCCTCGTCTCCCCATTCATCCATTCTCCATCCCTCGTCTCCCCATTCATCCATTCTCCATCCCTCGTCTCCCCGTTCATCCATTCTCCATCCCTCGTCTCCCCGTTCATCCATTCTCCATCCCTCGTCTCCCCATTCATCCATTCTCCATCCCTCGTCTCCCCATTCATCCATTCTCCATCCCTCGTCTCCCCATTCATCCATTCTCCATCCCTCGTCTCCCCATTCATCCATTCTCCATCCCTCGTCTCCCCGTTCATCCATTCTCCATCCCTCGTCTCCCCGTTCATCCATTCTCCATCCCTCGTCTCCCCGTTCATCCATTCTCCATCCCTCGTCTCCCCATTCATCCATTCTCCATCCCTCGTCTCCCCATTCATCCATTCTCCATCCCTCGTCTCCCCATTCATCCATTCTCCATCCCTCGTCTCCCCATTCATCCATTCTCATCCCTCGTCTCCCCATTCATCCATTCTCCATCCCTCGTCTCCCCATTCATCCATTCTCCATCCCTCGTCTCCCCATTCATCCATTCTCCATCCCTCGTCTCCCCATTCATCCATTCTCCATCCCTCGTCTCCCCATTCATCCATTCTCCATCCCTCGTCTCCCCGTTCATCCATTCTCCATCCCTCGTCTCCCCGTTCATCCATTCTCCATCCCTCGTCTCCCCATTCATCCATTCTCCATCCCTCGTCTCCCCATTCATCCATTCTCCATCCCTCGTCTCCCCGTTCATCCATTCTCCATCCCTCGTCTCCCCATTCATCCATTCTCCATCCCTCGTCTCCCCATTCATCCATTCTCCATCCCTCGTCTCCCCATTCATCCATTCTCCATCCCTCGTCTCCCCATTCATCCATTCTCCATCCCTCGTCTCCCCATTCATCCATTCTCCATCCCTCGTCTCCCCATTCATCCATTCTCCATCCCTCGTCTCCCCGTTCATCCATTCTCCATCCCTCGTCTCCCCGTTCATCCATTCTCCATCCCTCGTCTCCCCATTCATCCATTCTCCATCCCTCGTCTCCCCATTCATCCATTCTCCATCCCTCGTCTCCCCATTCATCCATTCTCCATCCCTCGTCTCCCCATTCATCCATTCTCCATCCCTCGTCTCCCCGTTCATCCATTCTCCATCCCTCGTCTCCCCATTCATCCATTCTCCATCCCTCGTCTCCCCATTCATCCATTCTCCATCCCTCGTCTCCCCATTCATCCATTCTCCATCCCTCGTCTCCCCATTCATCCATTCTCCATCCCTCGTCTCCCCATTCATCCATTCTCCATCCCTCGTCTCCCCATTCATCCATTCTCCATCCCTCGTCTCCCCATTCATCCATTCTCCATCCCTCGTCTCCCCATTCATCCATTCTCCATCCCTCGTCTCCCCATTCATCCATTCTCCATCCCTCGTCTCCCCATTCATCCATTCTCCATCCCTCGTCTCCCCATTCATCCATTCTCCATCCCTCGTCTCCCCATTCATCCATTCTCCATCCCTCGTCTCCCCATTCATCCATTCTCCATCCCTCGTCTCCCCATTCATCCATTCTCCATCCCTCGTCTCCCCATTCATCCATTCTCCATCCCTCGTCTCCCCATTCATCCATTCTCCATCCCTCGTCTCCCCATTCATCCATTCTCCATCCCTCGTCTCCCCATTCATCCATTCTCCATCCCTCGTCTCCCCATTCATCCATTCTCCATCCCTCGTCTCCCCATTCATCCATTCTCCATCCCTCGTCTCCCCATTCATCCATTCTCCATCCCTCGTCTCCCCATTCATCCATTCTCCATCCCTCGTCTCCCCATTCATCCATTCTCCATCCCTCGTCTCCCCATTCATCCATTCTCCATCCCTCGTCTCCCCATTCATCCATTCTCCATCCCTCGTCTCCCCGTTCATCCATTCTCCATCCCTCGTCTCCCCATTCATCCATTCTCCATCCCTCGTCTCCCCATTCATCCATTCTCCATCCCTCGTCTCCCCATTCATCCATTCTCCATCCCTCGTCTCCCCATTCATCCATTCTCCATCCCTCGTCTCCCCATTCATCCATTCTCCATCCCTCGTCTCCCCATTCATCCATTCTCCATCCCTCGTCTCCCCATTCATCCATTCTCCATCCCTCGTCTCCCCATTCATCCATTCTCCATCCCTCGTCTCCCCATTCATCCATTCTCCATCCCTCGTCTCCCCATTCATCCATTCTCCATCCCTCGTCTCCCCATTCATCCATTCTCCATCCCTCGTCTCCCCATTCATCCATTCTCCATCCCTCGTCTCCCCATTCATCCATTCTCCATCCCTCGTCTCCCCATTCATCCATTCTCCATCCCTCGTCTCCCCATTCATCCATTCTCCATCCCTCGTCTCCCCATTCATCCATTCTCCATCCCTCGTCTCCCCATTCATCCATTCTCCATCCCTCGTCTCCCCATTCATCCATTCTCCATCCCTCGTCTCCCCATTCATCCATTCTCCATCCCTCGTCTCCCCATTCATCCATTCTCCATCCCTCGTCTCCCCATTCATCCATTCTCCATCCCTCGTCTCCCCATTCATCCATTCTCCATCCCTCGTCTCCCCATTCATCCATTCTCCATCCCTCGTCTCCCCATTCATCCATTCTCCATCCCTCGTCTCCCCATTCATCCATTCTCCATCCCTCGTCTCCCCATTCATCCATTCTCCATCCCTCGTCTCCCCATTCATCCATTCTCCATCCCTCGTCTCCCCATTCATCCATTCTCCATCCCTCGTCTCCCCATTCATCCATTCTCCATCCCTCGTCTCCCCATTCATCCATTCTCCATCCCTCGTCTCCCCATTCATCCATTCTCCATCCCTCGTCTCCCCATTCATCCATTCTCCATCCCTCGTCTCCCCATTCATCCATTCTCCATCCCTCGTCTCCCCATTCATCCATTCTCCATCCCTCGTCTCCCCATTCATCCATTCTCCATCCCTCGTCTCCCCATTCATCCATTCTCCATCCCTCGTCTCCCCATTCATCCATTCTCCATCCCTCGTCTCCCCATTCATCCATTCTCCATCCCTCGTCTCCCCATTCATCCATTCTCCATCCCTCGTCTCCCCATTCATCCATTCTCCATCCCTCGTCTCCCCATTCATCCATTCTCCATCCCTCGTCTCCCCATTCATCCATTCTCCATCCCTCGTCTCCCCATTCATCCATTCTCCATCCCTCGTCTCCCCATTCATCCATTCTCCATCCCTCGTCTCCCCATTCATCCATTCTCCATCCCTCGTCTCCCCATTCATCCATTCTCCATCCCTCGTCTCCCCATTCATCCATTCTCCATCCCTCGTCTCCCCATTCATCCATTCTCCATCCCTCGTCTCCCCATTCATCCATTCTCCATCCCTCGTCTCCCCATTCATCCATTCTCCATCCCTCGTCTCCCCATTCATCCATTCTCCATCCCTCGTCTCCCCATTCATCCATTCTCCATCCCTCGTCTCCCCATTCATCCATTCTCCATCCCTCGTCTCCCCATTCATCCATTCTCCATCCCTCGTCTCCCCATTCATCCATTCTCCATCCCTCGTCTCCCCATTCATCCATTCTCCATCCCTCGTCTCCCCATTCATCCATTCTCCATCCCTCGTCTCCCCATTCATCCATTCTCCATCCCTCGTCTCCCCATTCATCCATTCTCCATCCCTCGTCTCCCCATTCATCCATTCTCCATCCCTCGTCTCCCCATTCATCCATTCTCCATCCCTCGTCTCCCCATTCATCCATTCTCCATCCCTCGTCTCCCCATTCATCCATTCTCCATCCCTCGTCTCCCCATTCATCCATTCTCCATCCCTCGTCTCCCCATTCATCCATTCTCCATCCCTCGTCTCCCCATTCATCCATTCTCCATCCCTCGTCTCCCCATTCATCCATTCTCCATCCCTCGTCTCCCCATTCATCCATTCTCCATCCCTCGTCTCCCCATTCATCCATTCTCCATCCCTCGTCTCCCCATTCATCCATTCTCCATCCCTCGTCTCCCCATTCATCCATTCTCCATCCCTCGTCTCCCCATTCATCCATTCTCCATCCCTCGTCTCCCCATTCATCCATTCTCCATCCCTCGTCTCCCCATTCATCCATTCTCCATCCCTCGTCTCCCCATTCATCCATTCTCCATCCCTCGTCTCCCCATTCATCCATTCTCCATCCCTCGTCTCCCCATTCATCCATTCTCCATCCCTCGTCTCCCCATTCATCCATTCTCCATCCCTCGTCTCCCCATTCATCCATTCTCCATCCCTCGTCTCCCCATTCATCCATTCTCCATCCCTCGTCTCCCCATTCATCCATTCTCCATCCCTCGTCTCCCCATTCATCCATTCTCCATCCCTCGTCTCCCCATTCATCCATTCTCCATCCCTCGTCTCCCCATTCATCCATTCTCCATCCCTCGTCTCCCCATTCATCCATTCTCCATCCCTCGTCTCCCCATTCATCCATTCTCCATCCCTCGTCTCCCCATTCATCCATTCTCCATCCCTCGTCTCCCCATTCATCCATTCTCCATCCCTCGTCTCCCCATTCATCCATTCTCCATCCCTCGTCTCCCCATTCATCCATTCTCCATCCCTCGTCTCCCCATTCATCCATTCTCCATCCCTCGTCTCCCCATTCATCCATTCTCCATCCCTCGTCTCCCCATTCATCCATTCTCCATCCCTCGTCTCCCCATTCATCCATTCTCCATCCCTCGTCTCCCCATTCATCCATTCTCCATCCCTCGTCTCCCCATTCATCCATTCTCCATCCCTCGTCTCCCCATTCATCCATTCTCCATCCCTCGTCTCCCCATTCATCCATTCTCCATCCCTCGTCTCCCCATTCATCCATTCTCCATCCCTCGTCTCCCCATTCATCCATTCTCCATCCCTCGTCTCCCCATTCATCCATTCTCCATCCCTCGTCTCCCCATTCATCCATTCTCCATCCCTCGTCTCCCCATTCATCCATTCTCCATCCCTCGTCTCCCCATTCATCCATTCTCCATCCCTCGTCTCCCCATTCATCCATTCTCCATCCCTCGTCTCCCCATTCATCCATTCTCCATCCCTCGTCTCCCCATTCATCCATTCTCCATCCCTCGTCTCCCCATTCATCCATTCTCCATCCCTCGTCTCCCCATTCATCCATTCTCCATCCCTCGTCTCCCCATTCATCCATTCTCCATCCCTCGTCTCCCCATTCATCCATTCTCCATCCCTCGTCTCCCCATTCATCCATTCTCCATCCCTCGTCTCCCCATTCATCCATTCTCCATCCCTCGTCTCCCCATTCATCCATTCTCCATCCCTCGTCTCCCCATTCATCCATTCTCCATCCCTCGTCTCCCCATTCATCCATTCTCCATCCCTCGTCTCCCCATTCATCCATTCTCCATCCCTCGTCTCCCCATTCATCCATTCTCCATCCCTCGTCTCCCCATTCATCCATTCTCCATCCCTCGTCTCCCCATTCATCCATTCTCCATCCCTCGTCTCCCCATTCATCCATTCTCCATCCCTCGTCTCCCCATTCATCCATTCTCCATCCCTCGTCTCCCCATTCATCCATTCTCCATCCCTCGTCTCCCCATTCATCCATTCTCCATCCCTCGTCTCCCCATTCATCCATTCTCCATCCCTCGTCTCCCCATTCATCCATTCTCCATCCCTCGTCTCCCCATTCATCCATTCTCCATCCCTCGTCTCCCCATTCATCCATTCTCCATCCCTCGTCTCCCCATTCATCCATTCTCCATCCCTCGTCTCCCCATTCATCCATTCTCCATCCCTCGTCTCCCCATTCATCCATTCTCCATCCCTCGTCTCCCCATTCATCCATTCTCCATCCCTCGTCTCCCCATTCATCCATTCTCCATCCCTCGTCTCCCCATTCATCCATTCTCCATCCCTCGTCTCCCCATTCATCCATTCTCCATCCCTCGTCTCCCCATTCATCCATTCTCCATCCCTCGTCTCCCCATTCATCCATTCTCCATCCCTCGTCTCCCCATTCATCCATTCTCCATCCCTCGTCTCCCCATTCATCCATTCTCCATCCCTCGTCTCCCCATTCATCCATTCTCCATCCCTCGTCTCCCCATTCATCCATTCTCCATCCCTCGTCTCCCCATTCATCCATTCTCCATCCCTCGTCTCCCCATTCATCCATTCTCCATCCCTCGTCTCCCCATTCATCCATTCTCCATCCCTCGTCTCCCCATTCATCCATTCTCCATCCCTCGTCTCCCCATTCATCCATTCTCCATCCCTCGTCTCCCCATTCATCCATTCTCCATCCCTCGTCTCCCCATTCATCCATTCTCCATCCCTCGTCTCCCCATTCATCCATTCTCCATCCCTCGTCTCCCCATTCATCCATTCTCCATCCCTCGTCTCCCCATTCATCCATTCTCCATCCCTCGTCTCCCCATTCATCCATTCTCCATCCCTCGTCTCCCCATTCATCCATTCTCCATCCCTCGTCTCCCCATTCATCCATTCTCCATCCCTCGTCTCCCCATTCATCCATTCTCCATCCCTCGTCTCCCCATTCATTCATTCTCCATCCCTCGTCTCCCCATTCATTCATTCTCCATCCCTCGTCTCCCCATTCATTCATTCTCCATCCCTCGTCTCCCCATTCATTCATTCTCCATCCCTCGTCTCCCCATTCATTCATTCTCCATCCCTCGTCTCCCCATTCATCCATTCTCCATCCCTCGTCTCCCCATTCATCCATTCTCCATCCCTCGTCTCCCCATTCATTCATTCTCCATCCCTCGTCTCCCCATTCATTCATTCTCCATCCCTCGTCTCCCCATTCATTCATTCTCCATCCCTCGTCTCCCCATTCATTCATTCTCCATCCCTCGTCTCCCCATTCATTCATCCTCCATCCCTCGTCTCCCCATTCATTCATCCTCCATCCCTCGTCTCCCCATTCATTCATTCTCCATCCCTCGTCTCCCCATCCATTCATTCCCCATCCCTCCTCTCCCCATCCTTCCTTCGCCATCCCTCCTCTCCTTATCCCCTCCTATTCTCTCCCTTCCTCTCTCCGCCCGTTCTTCTCCCAGTCCCGTCCTCTTCCAGCCCCATCCTCTTCTTATCCGCTCCTCCCCCAATCCCCTCCACTCCCCATCCCCTCCCCTCACCACCCCATCCTCTTCTCATCCCTCCTCTCCCCATCCATCGTTTCCACCATCCCCTCAGGTGTCCCACACTGGGATCAGCTCCGTGGCACCTCCACATCCGCGCCGCACTTCTGCATTAAGGAGCTCTAGGGGCGCTGTCCGCGGACAACGACGGGCAGAATTGTGCTGCAGAGGCGGACGTGGTGCTGCTCGGGTGAACACCAGTTAGGTGCCACTGGCTCGAAACGTGGCAGCAACTCTTAAGATCCAACTCCTGTGTTTGTTAGTAGTGTTTTGTAAGAGAGCACCTGTGTCTAAGGGCGCGGACAGCGACGGGCAGATTTGTGCTGCAGAGGCGGACGCGGTGCTGCTGGAGTGCGCTTAGGGTTTTAGGGTCCCAGGGTTTTAGCGCTGCTCCTTGCACTTCCGCGCGCGTCCCCCCATTCCCACGCGCGCCCCCCATTCCCACACGCGCGCCGCTCTGCTTTCGCGCGCTCGCACGCTGCCCCGCGCTCCCCGTGCTGTCGCGCGCGCCACGCGCTGCCCCATGCGCAGCACGCAGCTCCTTGCACTGCCCCACGTGCGCCTCCACTGCCCCTGCCCACGCTGTCCCGCTGCCTGGGCGTTGCTGCCCTGTGCGCCCCTGCTGCCTAGCGCCGACGCTTGTCGCTGCTGCTCGTGTGCTGTCGCTGCCCCATGCGCCGCTGCTGCCAGGCGCCGCTGCTGCTGCCGCTACAGCCGCAGCTGCTGCCCCTGCGACAGCCGCAGCTGCTGCCACTGCTACAGCCGCTGCTGCAACTGTTCCTGCAGCAGCCGCCGCTGCTACTACAGCTGCCGTTGACGACTCTGTTGATGCCGCCGCACCTGCCACTACAGCTACCGCTGCTGCCGCTGCAGCTACACCCGCCGCTGCCGCTGCAGCCGACACCCCTGCCGCTACAGCCGCCGCTGCAGCCGCCACTGCTGCCATTGTAGCCGCCGCCCTCGCCGCTACAGCCGCTACCGCTGCCGCTGCACCTGCCGCCACTATGCTGCCACAGCCGCCGCCGCTGCCACTACAGCAGCCGTCGCTACTGCAGCCACAGCCGCAGCCGCTGCTACTGCAACTGTCGCCTCCACTGCAGCCACAGCCGCCGCCACTGCCGCTTCAACAGTCGCGGGTGCCACTGCAGCTGCTGTTACAGCTGCCGCCGCCGCTGCCGTTGCAGCTGCCGCCGCCTCTGCCGCTACAGCCGCCACCACTGCCGCTGCAGCTGCCGCTGCTACTACCGCTACAAGCTGATGCTGCTCCCACTGCAGCTGCCACCGCCGCTGTAGCTACAGCCACCGCCACTGCCACCACCACAGCCGCCGCTGCCACTGCAGCTGCTGCTACAGCTGCTACCGCCGCTGACGCTTCAGTTGCCGCCGCCGCTGCCGCTACAGTCACAGCTGCTGCCATCGTATCTGCTGCCACCGCTGCAGCTATAACCACCACCGCTCCAGCTACAGCCGCCCCTCCTCCACTCACCTCCCAGCAGGCCTCTGGATAGGATTTGAGGTGCTCTTTTGCATAAGGCTAATCTTCTCCTTATACTCTTTCTGTAAGGGCATGCAAAATAGATACGCTATTTTATAAGGGTTGAAAACAGCCTTGATATTTTGATGTCGAAAGAGTATCGTATCACCTTGTGGTTGTCCAGTAGATTGTATTACACTGCCAATGTGTGACAGAATCTAGCAACAGGAATGAATGAACTAGCAGCATGCAGGAGTACAAGTAGAAAACCCTAATTGGGCTGTACCCCATATGGGCTACCCCACTATACCCTAGACAATATGCAGCATATATGTTTGACACACCCCCATAGGCAAAGTGGGGGAGAACAAGGGGTCAAACGACCAGTCAAAAGAAGCAAAGCAAGCTCAGGGTGGATCTCAACGTCACCACACATTCTGAGCACAAGCAAAGGGCCACAAGGCCAGTCCACATGCAGAGATATATATGCAACAATAACAGTACAGTGATTACTACCTAGCAAGAGCAGGCATGCATGTATATATATAGATCACAGTACAAGCAGAGACTACAGCAAGTGTGGAAACGTAGGCACAAGGCCTAAAAGGGTACAAAAGCGCTGATGATCACCAGACGGAAGTGCCTTGGTGAATATATCAGCAGTGTTGGCCCGAGTGGCCACGTGACGAAGACGAAGCTGACCTCGCTGCTGCAACTCTCGAGCCAGGAAGTAACGCAGAGCAATGTGCTTCGTTCTGTGCTCCAGTCGGTGCTCCTCACACAAGGCAATGGCGGCCTTGTTGTCGACGTACAGCACTGGAGGAGAACGAGGCTGCTCTCCCAAGTCAGTCAGCAGGTAGGTGAGCCAGCGTAACTCCTGTGCAGCCATGGCTGTGGCGTAGATCTCAGCCTCACAACTGGAGTTGAGAACTGAAGACGAGCGTGTAGAACGCCACGAAACTGAACCAGAGCCAAGGCTGAAGGTGTAACCCTGTGACGACCGCTGAGTAACCCAAGAAGCGTCTGAGTGCCCAGTGAGGACAACTGGGCTCGTCCCTCCAAGCACTAGCCCCATGCCTGATGTGCTGCACAAGTAGCGCAGTACCCTCTTAGCAGCAGCCATGTGCTCAGGTCGGTGCCGACCAGGAGCCACGTAGCGAGCCAGAAGACCAAGAGGGTACGCGAGGTCAGGTCGAGTGCAAGTCATCAGGTACATGAGGCAGCCGACTAGCTCTGGGTAAGGACCACTCGGCTCTACGGACTCGTCCGAAGGTGGAGCTGAGAGCGTGTGACCTGTAGCCAGAGGAGTGGCCTGTGCTGAAGACCAGGTGAAGCCGAAGCGCTGAAGGACCTGCTGCAACATGTGTGACTGAGTCAAGGTGATGGTGCGGCGTGCTCTGTCCCGGGTGATCTGCAAGCCAAGGTAGCTGCGCAGCTCACCCAAGTCTGTGCACGTGTGTCTCTTCTGCAGCTCCGACTTCCCGTGGGCGAGAGCCTCAGTGTCAGCAGTGGCAAAAACCAAGTCGTCGACGTACACAAGGATGTAGAATGGCGGCAGTGAAGTGTCGGCGCGCAGAAACAACGACGGGTCAGCAGTAGAAGGCGCGAACCCAAGAGCCGCAAGCGTAGTCCTCAGTGTGTCGTGCCACTCACGTGGCGCCTGGCGGAGACCGTAGACCGGCCGCCGGAGGCTCCACTGGGTACCAGGAGGGAACGACCCAATGAAGCCCGGGGGGCGGCGCAGCCAGATCTCCTCGTGCAGGCTGCCCTGCAAGAAAGCTGTGCTGAAGTCAAGAGAGTGAAGCTCGTAGTCACGGTGAGCAGCAACGTGCAGCAGCACCCGAAGAGTGGTCATCTTCGGGGTGGGGGAGAAGGTCTGGAAGAAGTCAACTCCCTCTCGCTGACTGAAGCCTCGAGCAACGTAACGAGCCTTGAAGACAGGCGGAGAACCTGGCGGCCGCTTCACCCTGAAAATCCACATGCCACTGACGATGTTCGCCCCAGGAGGGGGAACCTCGTCGACGTAAGTGCCAGTGGACTTCCAGGATGCCATCTCTGCGTCCATGGCTGTCTGCCACTGAGAGGAGTACTCACCCGCGATCGCCTCAGCGTAAGAGCGCGGGGTCGGGATGTCTGGTGCATCCGGGTCTCCCTCAGGGGCAAGCAGCATGGCAACGAGATGAGGCGCAGCGGCTGCAAGACACTCAAGGTCCTCGTGCCTGTCCTCAAGGACGTCCGTGCTAAGAGCACACTCACCCCCGACGGACGGAGGACACACAAACTCAGACTCAGCAACAAGACTGGCAGCGAAGTCTAGACGACAGGCAGCAGCAAAGTCAACAAGCTCAGCGACAAGAGCAGACGCAGCAGTAGACTCAAACGACGGGTCAGTGACAACAGTGGCTAGAAGACGTGTGACAGTACGGTGCTCAGCACGAAACCGGTCAGACGCAGGGTCCGGAACGTCAGGCAAAGAGGACGCAGAAGGAGACGGCAGAGGAACAGGCTGCGGAGAAGAGGAAGGACGACGGACTACGAGGTGTGCGCTGGGGACAGCCGGCTGACGCGAACGAGGAACACGACGACCGGTACGACCAGGACGAACAGGCGAAACAGGACGCGACGCAGGCTCACGACGCTCAGCAGGACTACCAGTCTGCTCAGTGTAAGGAGAAGGAGCAGGCAGCGGAGAGCCAGGCTGTAACGGAAGACCAGTAGACGACGGGAGAGTGAGAACCTGACGAAGAACAGAGTCAGACGGCGGCAGAGACGACGGAGACGGCGGAGCGAAGAACAGTCGTGTCGGCGCAGCTGCACCAGTACCGGCAGCTCCAGCAGCTCTAGTGCCTCCAGCAGCTCTAGTACCTCCAGCAGCTCTAGTACCTCCAGCAGCTCCAGAAGCTCCAGTCCCAGAGCCGACACCTCCAGTCCCAGGGTCTCCAACCTCTGTGTCTCCAGCAGCAGCACCCCCAGAACCAGCACCTCCAGTCCTAGGGTCTCCAGCCTCAGTGTCTCCAGCAGCAGCACCCCCAGAGCCAGCACCTCCAGTCCCAGGGTCTCCAGCCTCAGTGTCTCCAGTACGAGCACCTCCAGAACCAGCGACTCCAGCAGCTCCAGTAGACAAAGGACCAGCACCACTCCTAGCTCCAGCAGCGCGACGCTGACGGCGACCGTACCAGTCCTGCAGCTGCTGTGGGGTGAGAGGCACACGTGGACGAAGGCGGCTACTCCAAGGAGACCGCGCAACAGCAGACTCAGAACCCTCAGCGCCCGCACCGCCAACGGCTCCAGAACCTCCGGTGTCAGTACCCTCAGCACCAGTACCTCCAGCGGCTCCAGAACCTCCAGCGCGAGCACCCTCAGCAGCTCCAGAACCTCCAGCTCCGGCGCCACCAGTACTAGGCCCTCCAGCAGCTCCCGAACCTCCAGCGCCAGCACCCTCAGTAGCTCCAGAACCTCCAGCGTCAGTACCGCCAAGCTCAGCACCCCCAGACCCCTCACACTCAGGCTCAGCACCACCAGGCTCCACACCCTCAAGCTCCGCACCCTCAGGCTCAGCACCCCCAGGCTCAGCACCCCCAGGCTCCGCACCCCCAGGCTCAGCACCCCCAGAAGTAGCACCCCGAGAAGGACCACCCTCAGTAGGACCTGAATCACCAGTGACCTCAACTGGCGCAGTCAAGGGAGGAGGGTCTACCTGAGAAACACCTGAAGGAGCAGGACCAGGAGCGGGGAGGGGGTCTACCTGGGGAGCACCTGGAGCGAGGAAGAGCGGCGGGGGGGGGAGCGGGGCAGTGCGGTAGGGGAAGAGACGGTAAAAGGGAACCGACTCGTCGAACGTGACGTCCTGAGACGCAAAGACACGGCGCGAGGTGGGATGGTAAAAC